CTTAGGCTCAGAGAGCAAACAATTACAAAGGCCACAACTGGCTAAACCATACTCTGACTGGCCACTTCCCATAGCAAATCGGTGAGCTTAGAATCCCTCAGATTTGCATATCTGGAACCTCATGATTGGTCCACGAAAGCAACCAATCATAACCCACCTTTTTACTATCCTTCATTCAACCAATCACGGCCCACCAACATGTATATAACCACGATCCCTGGCCCACAATCACCAGATGACCCGGAAGACCCTGAAGAGTTGTGACACCGCATCGTCTCCAGATGACCCTGAAGAGCTATAACACTGCATCGTTTGTCTTCCCTCAGGAAACCTGTTCGACTGTCCCCCGGGTCGGGACAGTTGACCACGTGGGAGTCCAGAGCCTTTAACCACCGCGCTACCTGCCAGCCCACAAATTTCAGTTATTCTTGAAAACCACAGACTTAGAAAATACATAGCAATATATGTACTGTCACAACTCCTTGTACACAGTGAGGCACTCACCTATGTGCTGAATTAATACAGGAATTTAAGCATTTACTCGTCCAGCCTAGGTAACAGGGAAGTAGTACTCCCCACTCAGTGACAATACAAACAGTCCCAGGAGCATTCCGGGAACAGTACGTTTTAGAAGCTGGTCTGCAGAGTCCCTGCTGGCTACGACACCGTAGAGACCTCTGGTTCCGTATCTGCTCACTCTGTAAGGTGCTCAGCTACTCCCTGGCACTTCTAGCCTGTCCAGTTTTTACTCTCCCTCTTGAGAGTTAGGTAGAAAGACTTTTTTTTTTTTTTTTCAAGAGGTTTTTCACTATAGGGCGCGTGCGCTTGCCAGACAGGCAGAGAGAGACAGAGAGACAGAAAGCAAGAAATCACCCCCCAGGGGGGATGGTCATGCCACAATCCCTTCTCCTCCATTCTCCTCTTGGGATCTTGGGCATGCACGCACACGCACCCGGCGTGAGTTTTAAGCCACCGGGTCCGGGACGCGAACCGCAGTCGACTACGTGGGAGTCCAGCGACATAGCCATTACGCTAACTGTTGGTCCCCGGTAGAAAGATATTTGAGAGTTTTTTGCTATAGGGCATGTGCACTCGCCAAAAAGACAGAGAGAGACAGAGAGACAGAAAGCGAGAAATTCCCCCCCAGGGGCATGACCATGCCACAATCCCTTCTCCTCCATTCTCCTCTTGGGATCTTGGGCATGCACGCACACGCACCCGGCGTGAGTTTTAAGCCACCGGGTCCGGGACGCGAACCGCAGTCGACTACGTGGGAGTCCAGCGACATAGCCATTACGCCCACTGCTGGTCCCAGCAGAAAGATTTTTTAATAGACATCTTTCCCATTTTAGCATCTGAACTCAGGATGCATTTTACAAGTGGTGTCATAGTTGAATTATTAGCCTTTTTTCCTCCACAGCACATTAAGTGGAGTTCTATCAGATTTTACTGAATCGATTCCATCAACTGGACTGGATGTCTCACTAGTGGGGACTGCAGCTGCTGCCAGAGCTTCTTTGGTAAATAACTAGAACTCTTCCAAAGATGATGAGGGCTGTATTTATGAGACAAGGGGGGAGGGGTCACAAGTGAGACAAGCTGCCACGCAGGTAACAGGGTGCGCCACAGTGAGGAGCCTAGAAAGGGAGTGGGCAGAGGAAGGACAGGCCCTGCAGACGGAGAAGCAGGACCTCGGGTCCCTGGAGAAGGTAGGCCGTGATTAGCGCTGCCCAGGGCGCGGGCGTCTCTGAGACAGTCACCCAGAGCACGCCCTTAGTTCCCCGCTGCTGTAAGTAGGTAGCGACGGCTACCTTACGGTGAAGACCGGGAATGGTTTGTCCTACAACTTGGGAACAGACTTGAAAGGGAGAGGTCACCTAAGACAGCAAGTTCGCCAGCACCAGAACCAACAAGGCCAAGTTCTCTGTCCAAACACAACAAGCCCTTCTGGTCAATGACGGGCCGAGGAGAACTCCACGGGCCACAGCACTGCTAAATGGCAGCCGAGGGGGCAGGCCTGACGGGAATGGTTTGTCCTACAACTTGGGAACAGACTTGAAAGGGAGAGGTCACCTAAGACAGCAAGTTCGCCAGCACCAGAACCAACAAGGCCAAGTTCTCTGTCCAAACACAACAAGCCCTTCTGGTCAATGACGGGCCGAGGAGAACTCCACGGGCCACAGCACTGCTAAATGGCAGCCGAGGGTTCAGGCCTGAAAAGGCAACTCTTTCCACCACGCTGTCCCGTTTACTGAGCTGTCATGGTGACTGCTACACTGAATCATGCTTCTGCATTTAACCACCACTCGCTTCACAGACCCAGAGTCTCCACACTCTTTGACTAGGTCCCCTGCCCTAAACAGCTAAACACCAACTATATGTACACTTCCAAATTATGTACATGAACCACAACTCCTTATAAAACACACTCATGGGACCAGCAGTTAGTGTAATGGCTATGTCACTGGACTCCCACATAGGCAACCATGGTTCGCGTCCCAGACCCAGTGGCTTAAAACTCACGCCAGGCGCGTGTGCATGCGTGCCCAAGATCCCGAGAGGAGTACAGAGGAGAAGGCATT